TACTCTCTAACTTCCCTCCAGGATGTCCAACTTCCCAAGCTCAGCCTAAGTTTGGCTGCAATTCAAGGGCCATGCAGAAAAAGAGAGGCGAGAGAGTTAGGACTAGCTTTAAGCAACACTCCATAAAAGAAGGTCAGCTCTGGAGGTGACAGCATGGTAACTTCATGTCAGCTCTCCGGGTTCTTGGGGCCCTTCTTGCTACTGTAAGACTGAGCCCCCACCTAGATTTTCCCCACCAGCCCCTCAAACCCTCCAAGGTTCTCTATCTCTTCTCAAAACTCCTGCCCCTTTTTTATAGTTATATTCGTTGACAATTAGCGTAGACCATTTGAATTAAATCATACTGATTTTTTTTTAAAAAAAGGGACGCTCCCCTCTCCCCCTCCCCAACCTCAGGCTGGAGTACAGTGGCACCATCTGCAGCCTTGAATTCCTGAGCTCAAACTATCCTCCTGCTTCAGCCTCCCAAGTAGTTGGAACTACAGGCATGTGCCACCCTGCTCGGCACATTTTTTATTTTTACTTTGCAGAGAAGGCTGTTTTACTGCAGGTCTCAAACTCCTGGCCTGGAGCAGTCCCCCTGCCTTACCCTCTCAGAGTGCTGGGATTATAGGTGTGAGCCTCCACGCCTGGCCCACATTGATTTTTGAATGATTTTATCACCTTGGGGCAGGGCAGGGAGAACAGGTGATTTTACAAGTGGCTCTGGGTTTATGAGATGAAATCTGTAAATCGTCAGATTTCAGGCAGCATAATAAAAGAAGGATGAGGGACGTAATAAGAGACCTCTTTTTCAGAGTCAGCTCCCTAAGACCGTGCCACTTTCTCGTAACTTCCACGGGATTTTTTTTCCTCCTAGAACCATCAATTCCCTAAAGCCCCAATACTTCTGTCATCATCTTGCTCCTTGACCCTCACTCTGTCGGCTTCTAGGACAGCAGCAAGTGGGACACAGGTGGTGAAGGGCTAAGGTCAGGTCACGACAGCTGCTGCCATTGATGTGGACTGTTCCCGAGTTGGGGGCCCCCTCTGCAGTGGGAGGGAGAGGTGCCCGAGGGCTCCTGGCGCGAGGTTCCGCGAGGCGTCACCCAGAGCTGCGTTCCTTGAAGGCACATCCCATGTGGGTGGGTTTTCACTGAGAAGCATGTCCGGCCTCCCTGCCTCCCTGGTGCCGGGGAGCTGTCGAGTTTGTGTAGAAGACAATTCCCCAGGCCACTTCCATTTGTGCTAGAAACAATAACTTTCTGCCACAAGCAGTCAATGGCTGGAAAGTGGCTGTCAGGAGCCATTTCAGAATCAGAAGTTCTGTGAGCAGGGAACCGCACTGGGACAGGCCTGAGGAAGGTCACTCCTGGGGAGCGCCCTGCAGCTTGTTTTCTAGACATCTGCTTTGTAGCTAGAAAGTACACGAGCCGGCAATAGCGCTGAGCCACATTTTTTTGGAGGTGTATAAATTTCCTGAGCCTTTGGATCAGATAAGAGTGGCTTTGTCTGGACCCAGGGTACTGGCCTAGAAACTCCAGAGTCTCGGCAGATGTTCTCAGGTTTTATGTGCTTACAGACCACTTGGGAAACAAGTTACAGTGCACACCTGTGTGTGTGTGTGTGTGTGTGTAACAAGCTCCTGGGTGAGCTGATGGAGCATGTGTGTGTGTGTGTGTGTGTGTGTGTCTAACAAGATCCTGGGTGAGCTGACTCTACTGGCTCACCCGCAGTGAGGTGCGGGGATCTGGAGCTACACTGTCTGACACTTTAAATACTGGCCACGCATGGCTGCTTAAACTTCAAAATGTAAATTAATTTAAATTAAATTAAAAAATTTAGTTCCTCAGCTGCACTGACCACAACTTAAGTGCTGAGAACTCACGTGTGGCTGGTGGCCGCCCTACTGTGCTGCACAGATAAGAGCATCCCCATGAGCACGGACGGTTCTGGTGGACAGCTCAGGACTAGACGGGGCCTCTGTTCCATCCCTCGTTCCTTCATCCATCTGTTCTCTGAGCACTTGCTGTGTGCCAAGGAGCCAATTAGCCTGGCTGTGGAGCGCTGAGGTGGATCCAGGCTGCCTGCGAAGCACACAGGCTCTCAGCAGAGCTCATTGCAGTAATACAGAGACGCCTCCTGGGTGGTCAGTTGGGAAGAGAGGCGACAGCGTCCTCTGGCCTCTCACGTGTGGTCTGCACCAAGTATGGTTGTCCCAGAACCCGAGTATTCATGAGATTGGCTGCTGACAATGCATTTTCACCATTTCAGGGCCATCATCATCAGAAATGGAGACATCATCCCCATGTCTTCAGAATTCACCCCTGAGACAGAGCGCCAGCGACTTCAGTACCTGGTAAGCGTCACCCAGGCTCGGCAGAGTGTGGGGGGATCAGGCGGCGTCAGGAGGAGCCGTCACTGCTGACGCGGAGCAGCCCCACCGCAGCCAGGCGGCGGGTGAACCAGCTTCCCCGCCACCCTCCAGGTCACACTCCCTGCTCCGTTGAGTGACCACACACTCCACCTCTGTGAGCTCATTATTGTGGCTGATTTCCTCCCATCTGTGTCCCGTCAGAGACACGGTGTGCTCTAGGTTTTTTTAATGGTTTGTTAGGTACAGTGTAAAATGCGGTTTTGAAGAACACGGCTACCTTCTTCCCTGGCCTGACGCTCACTGTCACTCGAACAGGGCTTGTCTGAATCCTTCATGAGGGGAACCTTTCTGACCGGACAGCTCAGAGCTGCCTCTCTTTGTGCCCAGATAAAGTCTCAGCGCCCTTTGGGAAAGGTGCCAGTGTCAGACAATCTGTTTCTCTCTTGAAAATAAATTCCACATATAAATCACCCTCTTTGGAAAGAGATTAGGAGGGGGCTATAGGTAGTTTTGCCTCCCTCAAAAGTTTCCATTTTCTGAGAAACAGATTAGACTTAGGTCTCTGTCCTTAAATTCCAAGAGGAGGCGTTAGGGTTAGAATCTCAGTTAAAAGTGACTTTGGCAATCATCCTAGCTACTGTGGGGTGACAGCTCTGGGGACTAACCCTGTGGACAGTAGTTCTGTGGATGAAATAGTTTCTTGCTAACTGGATTTTTCTTTCTTTCTTTCTTTCTTTCTTTCTTTCTTTCTTTCTTTCTTTATTTCTTTCTTTTTTGAGGGGGGAGGGAAACAGCTCCAGTGGCCACCATCTACTCTTAGGAAAGAATCTCTAGATTTGAAGATGTGTGAATGGTCAGGATTTGAATACTTTGGTCGATTAAGAAAGCAACTGTATGCTTTCCCTTGATCCTTTTGTCTGTGTGTTTTGTTTGTTTTATTTTATAAGCTCTGTCACTTTTACTAGGACAGTTGTCTGGTTGTATAAGGTGGCAGGATTCCAAAACCATCATGAACACAGAGCTTTGCTCTTTCCCTCACCGTTGTTTTCTAGCATCTGTGGGGTTGTGTTCGAGCTCGCACACTGGAGGCCGCCAGTCGGGAATCGGGCTTTAGACTGATTTGTTTCCTGTGGCAGCCCAGGCGGGTGGGAGTGACCCTGCCGCAGCCCACAGACCTCCGTGTGGCTCCCGCTCTGTCATCACCTGTGGGGAGTTCTGTGCAAGTCTTTTAACCTTCCACGCCTCGGTTTGGACTTGTGAAGTGGAGAGCTAGGCCAGGTGTAAAGGGCCTTTGGTCAGCGAGCATCCCTCTGAGTAGAGTTCACGCCAGCTGGCCTCTCTGCCACCTGTCTGCCGTCCTCCAGTCTGTCCTCTGTGAGGCTTTCCCAGCAACCTTATCGCAGAGCCTGTTGCCCCACCTACAAGCCTTCGGCTCCTGGCAGTGTACACAATGCAGGCAGCCCTTCTTCACAGACCCAGAATGCTGGTCCCGCCCTCCTCTCTGGTACTATCTCACTGTCACCACTGCCGTTGCCACTATGCATACCATGTTCCACCCACGGGGACTCTCCTCCATCCCCAGGACCCATCATGACCTCTCAGTCTCCAGCCCCGATGTCTTTAGACACATCATGACCTCTCAGTCTCCAGCCCC